ATATATATATATATATATATATATATATATTCTGAGTACAAGAGGTGTAGTCATTTCAATTATAAGTTATCCATGACTTTTTTAGGTAATTTGCTTCAGAGACATTAAGTCTATTGTTTACCATTAAGTCTATTGTCTACCCATTAACCCTTGCAATGCTAAAATGGTGGATATGAGTTAAAAGAAGACCATGTCACAATACCAAACCATATAACAACACAATATGATGCTAATATTGACAACTCACAGTTTTGACATCCTATATCAATCAGTCTCCAAGATAGCAGCAACTAAACCAAACAAAGCAGGCACAATGCAAACAAATAGTTCCTAATACTCATATATAATATATGCTCAAATCTCAAAATTTACTCTCAAGTGTGAAGATACAAAAAAACTAATACCAGAAAACTTATAACTTAAAGACAAAACCATCATTGACTTCAGGCAAAGCATACATAAACAAATCAGCAACTACAAATAAAAAATAAAACACAACAAAATAAAAATGCAGTCCTAAGAAGTGTGAAACCATTATAGAATTTGCTCTCTATTTCAGTTCTGGAAATACACGGTCTCAATTTCGATGTTACAGTTAAGGAATGGAATCAAGTATCATTATAGAATTTGCTCGGTAATTACATTATATTTCTGTTGGGAGGAAACTTTAAATGCTAGAAGGAAGTGTTTTAAAATTGAGAGAGGTTGGAAGATTTTGAGAGAAGAGGAAAGGCTTGTATTGAGTGCTTCTAAACTTTTTTGGCTTGTTTTCAAATGATACAATCATCCCCTATTTATACTAATGACACCTCCTTAACCAATGGGTAGGATCTTGCCACCACAACATTCATCTAAGGGTTATAATTTATTCTCTAGAACTTTCTAAAACATTCCTATAATTCTAAACTTATCTAGAGACATCTTATAGATAAGCATCTCTAGATATTTTTGTAGAACATTCTAGAATCCTTCTAGATAGGATTTTCTAGAATGCTATTTGGGCCTTTGCTAATATTGGGCTTTTATCTTTTAGGCCCAACATACAAAATCAATTTATATTCCAACACCCCCTCTTAAACTTGATTTTGTACTCCAAGCAAAGTTCTCAACTTCATAAAGACTTCCTTCTTTCAGCGGTTTGGTGAAGATATCTGCTACATGATCATGTGTCTTCACATATTCCATTTGCACATCCTTGTTGCTGATGCATTCTCTAATGTAATGGTAACGAGTGTGGATGTGCTTACTTCGATCATGGAAGACTGGGTTTTTTGCTAATGCTATTGCCGACTTGTTGTCTACGAAAATCTTTGTTGGCTCCACTTGTGGCAAGCTTAACTCCTTCAAATAGGTTGCGTAGCCAAACAGCATGGCAAACACATGAAGTTGCAGCTACATACTCTGCTTCACATGTAGACAAAGTGACAATAGGCTGCTTCTTGGACATCCAAGTAAAGGCTGTGTCTCCCATGTAGAACACAAATCCGCTTGTGCTCTTTCGGTCATCCATATCTCCACTCCAATCGCTATCATTATATCCAACAAGCTTGTAATCGTTAGAAATGGAGTAGTATATGCCATAGCTTGCCGTACCTTGGATATATCGAAGAATCCTCTTCGAAGACTTGAAGTGAGTAGTTGTTGGAGCTTCCATGTACTGACTCACGACTCCAACGACATAAAGAATGTCTGGTCTTGTACAAGTTAAATAGCGCAAACTTCCAACAAGACTTTTATAGAGGGTTGGATCCACTTTTTTTCCCTCTTCATCCTTATTCAACTTGATGCCGCATTCCATAGGAGTACCAACTGGATTAGCATCATCCATCTTGAACTTCTTGAGGAGGTCTTTGGCATAGCNCATAAAGCCACCCCCTTTTTACCTCGTTCGTATATGCCTCGGTTGCAGAACCGGTGCCTATAAGCAAAATTAACCGATGCAATTTCCCCTTCCTGCACTAGTGCCATGTCATATTCCAAGAAACTTCTCATTCACGGTGCAGGTTCATTAAAGCAATCTCTTAAACATTTATATTCCCAGAAATCAATCTTAATTTATCATATATTAATTTGTATAACCCAGAACAACTTACAAATCAATTCTTCTAACACAATATTGCATTCCATAAAAGACACAAATACACATATTCATTATTTCCAAATAGAACCATAGCAAACTCTCATTTTCACGTTGTAACACCACAAAGCATACCACTAGTTTCCAGTTCATACTAATCTCCAAAAATTTTACCCAATTGCCAGTCTCGAAATATACACTATTAAACCCTCTTTTTAACACTTCGTCACTTCACTCATAAACAACAATTAACATAGAAAGAAACTACCATCCAAGCAATTCACCAAACAACATAAAATAGCTCCCCATAAGAGTTCATCTTCCTCACTGCACAAAACTTCCACCGAGCTCCGCTGTGAATTCCTTTCACTCAAATCCTCACTCTTGAACTCTAGACTCAAATTCTCTCCCTATTTATAGGCTCCTTCTTCGATCTCTAAATTAATTTCTCAATCCCAAAATTTTGGTGTTTGTATTTTGATTTGTATTTTAAGTTTTAGTCTTTTAGAATGTTTTCGTATTTTAAAGCTTTTCGGCTTTTGTACCAAACTAGGCAAATTTGCCTCAGATATTACGAAAGTAGGCAAAAAATTTTGAAAAGCAAGTCGTGAGAGACCTAGACGACTTTCAATGAAGAAGTTGTGCCCCCTGCATGACTTCACCCTGACACCATGGTCAAAGGTGAAGTCGTGCATTCCAAAAATGACTTTAGGACATGGTAATCGATTACCACGTGTTGTAATCGATTACCACGCCTTTTTCATTAAAAAAAATTGAAGTCGTATGGGGTTGACAACTTCAATAAGGGAAGTCGTGCACCCCCCACACATCTTTACTTTTATTTAATTTTTAATTTTTTATTAATTAAAATCATTTATAATTTTAAAAATGTTTTTATATGTATTTAAAATAATTAAAATTATATCTAATTAATAATTAATTTTTTGTAATATTATTAAATAAATAAATTTCATGATTTTAATTATTTTTTTAGTTAAATTAAATTTCTTATAAAATAATTTCAATTAAATAATTTATAACTATATTATTGTAATTATTTAATTAAAAATTCAAAATAAAATATATTTCATTATAATTTACTTTTTTAAATTTTTATTATTAAATTATATTTTTTTACAAATCATAATTAATTAATAACAATTTTTTTCATTATATACTATTTAAATTAATAAAAATATTACATATAAACTATTTAAATTAATAAAAAGCAATTTTAATTAAAATTGTAGGGCTACAAAAATCTGTAATTTTTCCAGAGGTTTTTTTCGCATTGTCGGGGCTTTAACTCCCAAAAAACACAGGTATCCCTTTTATTTTGTTTTGTTTTTTTGCTCTAGTTGGTTACGGAGAAAGTGGAATAGCAATCCTAGGATGATGTTGATTCAAGTTTAGTTTTCATGTACACACCAGTAT